GCTCTTTCATACCGTTCATGACTTGATACAAACAGCACCAACCAACCGATCCTCCTTCTTGAAACAGAAGTCACGCACAAGGTTTAGGAGTAACAGCAAAGCTAACGGCAACGCTGAATGACAACATCTACATACTAGACCAGAACACAACTCGGCCATTAGCATACGTGATCGTAATTGTTCATGCTTAAAGTAGAACTAAACAATACAATTATTTTTTTAAAGAAAAGAAAAACGACAACATGAAAAAAAAAGGGGGGAGAGCGGATGAAAAAAATAATGTCATCTCAAGTACCGTTTAGAAGAGAATATGTATTATGGCAGCGGCCACGTCCTGAATCTCATAATAATACTTACTCGGATTCAACGAACTTGGATGCAACGAAAAATCGGATTCATCAAGAGGAGATGGATTCCCCGTAAAAAGAAGTCATAAAAATCAATTTTTTAAAAACCCTCGGATTCAACAAATACATAGATAAGCAAGCTCGTATTCAACGAAGTCGCTTACAGGGCAACAATCCCCGCTGACGTGGCTTCCGTCATTTTCCTATTACTGGAAATCATCTATGGCACTTGCTTCATGAACCAATATTCGCTTAGCCTATTGTTTATAGCTTATGCAACCAATCAGCGGCCTACTTTCATACCAACACATGTGCTGTTGACACGCGCACGTATCGTAGCGAGTGTCGGGGTTGGCTCTAGATAGCAACATTACTTGTTCAGCAAACAATACGTCATAGATGACATAGGCGTGCATTTGAACGAATCGGCCTTTTTCCTCAGTGTGTTCTTGGTAGAGCTCAGTGTATTTTCCTTGCATTTTCCACCATTTCTTATGTCTGACAAAAAACAAAAAAACAAACAAAAACAAAACAAACAAACAAACAAACGAAAATGCCTCTCATTTGAACCCAACTACTTTTGATTTGGAAGTCGAAAAAGGGCAAAAAGCAGGCATTTTAGGACAGCCCACCACGTATTACTTCCCTTTATAATTACTTGCTTGTTGCCTGTAATTACCTGTTCATGTACAAAAATTTCATGCTAGCTATAAAGAACACTCAACTTTAGCGAAATTGAAGGCCAGGCCCGATAGCTTCGTTGAATCTGATTCCACGGTAATGAATGTGGGAAAGAGATTTGACACAGACCATCTCGCAATTACCCTGAAAGTCATGCATCCCCAGGATCCAGGCATAATGCGCATAGTTGTAAATATATTTTACACCTCCATCTACACAATTTTAGATTATTTAGAAGGTAACCAACCTGTGTGTGATGTGCAATAAACAATACAAGCTGTATGAATTGGCTGTGATCGAAGAATATTATCTATCTATTAAATATGTTTGTTTTTATTTTGAAAATGTTGAAGTCCTCTACCACAATGATATGGCAAAGGTTGCCCCCCCCCCCCTCCCCCATTTCAAAAGAATGCAGTCTATGAGAGAACATCTTTTGGTGGTTGGAAGGTGCTCTGGTGTGGTTTGCTCCTTCTTTCCTTTGAAACATCTATCGTCCTTATCTTTCCTCCTTCTTTTTGTCTTTGTTACTCTCTTGTGGCACCTCTAATCTTCGGCACCTAAGTGACCTAATTGTGTTACAAGTGCGGTAGATACTCTTACTACCCCCCCCAAAAACAACAACAACAACAAACAAACAAACAAACAACAACACACAGTAACAACAACAATAACAACAACAACAACAACAACAACAAACAAAACAACTAAAACAACAACAACAACAACAAAAACAACAACAACAAACTTTAGTTTTAGTAGAGGTTTTACGGCGCTCGCAACTGCATAAGGTCATTTGAGCGCCAAAAGATTAGAAGTGTTACATGAGAGTAAGAAACATAAAAAAGAACAAGGGGAAATAAGGACGATAGATGTTTGATAGGAATGAAGGAGCAAACCACGCCAGAGCACCCGCCAACCACCCACCAACAACAAACAGTAACAACAACAACAAAACAAAAGCCAAAAAAAATAATCTTGCGTACATCGACCACCATTGGTGAACAAATTAAACATGTTATCCCCCCCCCCCCCCCCCGGGCAGTGCTACTGACTGAAATGGCTTTAGGCCAGTTAAAAGGACTAGTCTATTTTTCATAATAGATGGACCTTCGTTCTTCTTCTTATTTCTAGAACTTTATTCTCAGTGGATCCTGCTACACACACACACACACACACACACACACACACACACACACACACACACACATACACACACACACACACACACACACACACACACACACACACAGACACACACACATACACACAGACACATACGCATAAACGCCCACCCACACAAAACACACAAAACACACACACACACACACACACACACACACACACACACACACACACACACACACACACACACACACACACACACACACACAAACACACCCACACGCATACTCTTTTTGCAATTAAAAAAAAAAGAATTACAATAAATTTTCTTTTTAGTTTTAGTAGGGGTTTTACGGCGCTCGCAACTGCATGAAATTTTCTTTGAATAACGATATTTTAAATTTGTTTATAAAAAGAATCCCTATCGCATCTAATATAATGTAATACGGTACAACGACCTTCCTTGGCTCCAAACGTATTGACGATCTCTCTCATATTGACCATATCAACTATGTCAAGATCTGAAAGGAATGAAGTAGTACTTGGGCATTCTATTTCTTCTATGTTTACTGCCCAGGGCAAAATACTACACATGTCGCTTTAAGATTTTCTATCAAGACACAAGAGCCATTGTATTTTGAGTGGTTAACGGGCTTAAAATGTGCACGATTTGCCCAAAGGCGACTAGGAACACAACTCAAAAGACTCAAACAACACACGTGCAGATGTATTAAAGTAGTACAATCACCAAAATGTCAGTGTGGAGAAGCAAACCAAACCGTGGAACACATCCTCTTGCAAAGCGGGACACAGGGACCGGAGACAGAAAACGTGGCCCATTCAGAGTCGCGGGATTTGTGTCTCGGGTCGTTCAATCTGTATCTCAGACTCTGTATGGGGAACATAACCTGTGCAATATTATGTGAAGAAAGCATGAAAATTCTCCCTCACCGAAACAATGAAAAGGGAGGCAATTATAATTGTGAATGACTGGAGAACATCAGAGCTTTTCCATTTGTTTGGCTTAGATGAAACAATGCCAATTTGTCTTGAAGAGAAGTTGAGATGTGTTGCAGTTGAAGTAGGTGGGGTCGCATGATTTCAGAGCTAAAATTAGCCAGACAATAGACGCCAAAGTTTGGTGACTTCCAAACCTTGAGTATCCTTGCAAACTGCAAATTATCCTTTTTTTGGGGTGCTTTTGATCAACGTTTTTCTTGTAGAATCCAATGAAGAAATACACTGTTCCGGTCAGTTTGAGAATGGTGGAAAGTCAAGAGTTCTTCACACCAACCATTTGAAGGCCATTGTTCTTTATGAGAAAATGTTGGTAGTTGTTATTTTTAAAATGTAAATTACTGTTATTTAGAAAAATAATATATTTTTAGACACCTAATCCGTTTCGATTCGCAAAGTAAAACCAAGCCGTGCTACGAACTAACCTTAAAACAACTATCTTGCATCCCACTCGCTCATAATATTACATTATATAGTATGTAGTGGCAGTGGCGAACGCCGTAAAACTCTACTAAAACAGCAACCTACACACAGTGCGGGTTAAGAATACTGCGTTTTCGCAGTCTGGTGGTTGTTTGAGGTTTGTTACGTAAAGATAAATGGCTAAGATATTTATGGTGCAGAGACTTAAATAGATGCCAACCGTCACTTTTGTTGTGACAATGATTGTGGAGATTGAAACGCTTTTTTATATACAACTTGAGCTTTCTCAATTAAAAAATAAGACTGGTACAAAAATAAGGATGCCAGAGGCCTATGTTCTTGTTGTAATTATTACCTCCTAGAAACTCGGAATGTACTTTTCTGCTACTTGTTTGCGCGTACGTGCGTGGAGCCGATCACGGCTAAACACTTTCTTTTTTCTTGCGATTCATTTACACATCTCTTCATTCATCATTGAATAGTAATTGCCAACACTTCTGTGTTAATGGACCCTTGCTAGTGGTGTCGCGCACGCGGCTTCAGACGCAATACCAGAGTTAATGGCGAGTCGAGAATACGGTTGTATCACGACACGGTGAAACCAGGCGCTCGTCAAGTTTTGGGCATACATAGTTATTGGTAGCATATTAGAGCTTGTTTATTTGTCTAGTTTATGTTGAAAAAATACCAATCTATCTTATAGAGAAGTTGAAATGTTTGCGTTTGAAGTACGTGGAGGGTTGTCTGATTTCAGATGGCAAATTAGCGAAAGAATGGTCGCCAAAGTTTGGTGACTTCAAAAGCATGTGTGTGCTTGAAAATTGCAAACCTGCAAACAAACAATCAATTGATAAAAATTACCCAAAGAACCAAAAAAAAGTCGATTTCTTCAATTTGGTTATTTTGACGAGAACTTGATTTCACTCCGCAGCCACACTCAATCGTTTTTCCTGATCACAACCTTTGTCCGTGCCAGTGGCCAGTGGTGAAACATTGCGCGTGACGTTAGGGGAAATCAGTGAAAAGACCAATAGCACTGAAAACACGTCGTGTGTTGAAGAAGTCATTCTTTCCATAAGGGCAATGACACCTTCCTTCCCCCCTCCACTAATCGAAAAACAAAAAACAAGAGCAACAAAACAACAAACAAAAAAGAAAGAAAGAAAAAAATATGAGAAGAAGATCGGTTAGAATTGTTAAGATCGAGCATCCATGAAACACGAGGTTAGTTTCCAGAGCGATGTTTTATTCTTGCCATATAGATAGATAGATAGATAGATAGATAGATAGATAGATAGATAGATAGATAGATAAACCTGAATGACGAAGCAACCTGCCTTTCAATATACGTGTATAAATAAAAACAGACAAAGACAATTTATTATGGAATAGGCAGTATGCCCCAGTTCATAATCTTGCATTTTGATTCCGCTTCGCATAGCGACAGGAACAGCATAATAAAGACTTGTAAGTGTCCCGGAATTTCTTGTTCATGCCTACGTAGACAACAAAGTTGCATGAGCTGTTCACACACACGATGATGTTCATCAACTGGTACGCTATACGGCCGACGTTGTTCGGCGCGTCCCCTGTCAGTGTGTAGTAAGCGTACTGTGGGATGTACGTGGGTAGCGAGAGTATGGCACACGTCACTGTGTACACAGCACAGACAGCCAGTAACATCTTCGTCGTCCTTGTGCTGGAGGAGGAGGAGGAGGATTCTCTCTTGCCTCCAGCAGACGTTAGTTTTTTCCGTTTCACGGACGCCATTCTGATCTTGGCGGAAATGATGATGCAGCCAAGAAGCGTGCACACTGGGGGTATCTTCATGCTGCTGTAGGTCACGAACTCTTGCATAAAAGACACCGCGTTCAGTTCTCTGTAGTAGAGAGGTGAGCGTTGAATGAGCCCAACGGAGATGTTCAAATGAGGTCTAAATTCATAACCGAACTCAAACCAGAAGGAGGAGTAGATATTGTAAGAGTACCAAAAGCAATATGTGACGCCCACCATCCCCCATGTTCTCTTCGGCGTCATAATCTGGTGGAACTTCAACGGCATGAACACAGCGATAAGACGTTCTATAGTGATAAGCATAGGGATGGTTAGTGATATGTAACCCATGGCGTAGTCCAAAATGTTGAAGATGATAAACATCACGAAGGCTGCACAGCTGGCGGATTCCGAGTACGCCCAGGCAAAAGGCTCCCCTGTCACCTCGTAAAGGACTTTAGGCACGCTGTTGAAGGAGATGAGAAATGTGAGATCTGTCACGGCCAGGCAGAATAGCAGGATGTTTGAGCATTTGTCCAGTCCGTGCTTGACCAGGATGATGATGCTGAACACGTTGCCCAACGCGCCGAGAACTGATATTGCTGGGGTCACGTAGAACATCAGAAGTTGCATCACAAAGAGAGTTGTTTCATCGCCTAGCAGCTGGCTTGGGCTCGAAATATTCTTTCCCTCGTCATTAGTTCTTGGGGCAGTCTCCTTTGTGTCCTCCCAGTTTAGAGTTGGGTGTGTTAACCAAGTTTCAGTAGTTCCAGTGGGACGCATGACCGTGAGCTCTAACAAAAACCTCACATAAAAAACTGCAACCATAAACAATTAATTATTGTTGATTTATCTTAACTTTATGCCTAGTTGCACCAGAATTGCTATTGTTATACACGATATGAAGGTCTTTCAGCCTGCAGTCTGGGGAAGAAGAATGAAAAAAGTAAAGGCCACGGGCTTAGTTCAATTAATCAAAAATCTTTTAAACACAATTTGCAGGTGCTTTGGTGTAGTCTGCTTATTATTTTCTACCAACCACCTATCATCCTTACCCCCAGATATTGGAATGGCGAACAAGACACAAAGTTGAACCATTTCTGAGTGAGGCCCAAATGGGATTTAGAAAGGGAAGAGGATGCAGCGACGCAATATTAGCCCTACGACAAATGTGCGAAAGGGTAGTAGAACACAACAGGGAACTAAATATAGTATTTATCGACCATGAGAAAGCGTTCGACAGAGTGAACAGAAACAAGCAGTGGAAAGAACTCGAAAACTACACTGTAAGAGGCCAACTTCTAGATAACATCCCTGCCGTTTACGAGAACAGCATACGTACAGTAAGAACGTCAGAGGGACTCACAGAATGGTTCGAGATAACATCCGGAGTAAGACAAGGCTGTGTCCTATCACCACTACTATTTATCATATATATGGATATAATTACAAAGAGGTCAACACAGAACCAGAGGCCCTAAATGAATTACTCTCCGCTGATGACCAAAGCCTGGCACACAAAGATGAAGGAAGTCTCCAACACCACACCTCCAGATTAAATGAAGAATGTAACAACTACGACATGAAGATCAACATCAACAAAACAGAGACAATGAAAATAAGCAGAAAGCCAGGACTACTCAGGATACATATCAACAACAACAGTCTCAGATAGGTTCATGAATTTAAGTACCTCGGACGTACATTCACAGACGATGGGCGACTGAACAGAGAAATTGAAACACGGGTACAAAAGGCCAATAATGTTATTTACCAGCTTACTCCACTACTGAAACATCCTAACATCCCCATGACAACAAAACTCAAAATGATCAACACCACATTCATCCCAACATTCACCTACCTGCCAAAATGGACCACGAACAATACATTAGAGCAAAGAATTGCAACATGTGAAATGCGATGCCTTAAATAAGCTGTAAACAAGACCAGGCGAGACAAATTTAGAAAGTCAGTAATCAGAGAAATGGTGGGCACAAATGATGTCATGCATCACATCCAACACCAAAAAATCAACTAGTTCTGACATCCCATGCGATTACCAACTCCCCATCTAGCACTACGGTACGTGCCTACTTTTTAAAAAATTCGATGGCAACAAGAGTAGAGGGCGGCCGTAAAAGACCTGGATAGATGGAGTCAAGGAAACATTAACCTCTCACGGCATTCCCCCTGACCCAAGGACTCTTCGGCTGGCGACCGAGAGACGTCTCTTTCTTCCGGCGAAACCTATACGTTCTTATACTAACCATCTCTGACCGTCTAGGGCAAAACCCAAAGGGGTATCAGCGGCGGATAAAAGTAAAAGTGGGTACTCTCTAGTTGCCCCAAAGATTCTCTATTTATATTCTTTGTTTACACCTTAACTCTTCAGCACTAAGTCTAATATTACTTATTTGTGTTGTAAATACCATAAAACTCTTAATGAAACTAATCTAAACTAGATTTCAAATAGGGACAACTGGGTGTGGTTGTAGCGTCAGTTCCAGCTTTCAAAACAGAGGGGCAGCTGGAATAATTATTATTATTTACATTATCGCTCGAATAACTAAGAGTAAGCTTTTAAGATATACATGTATGTATAATATAAGTCACTGGGTGAGGTCAGTGAGGAGCAGAAATCTTCTGTGTCAAAGAATCGAACGTCTGGCGTACACTCGCATCTTTCCTCCATATCATTCTTCTACTTCTACTGCTTGTAGTTTTGTATCAATTTGTCTAACCTTATTCATATTTTTCAACAACTATTAAGGCTAGATTAAAAAAAAAAAACTTTTCTTCAAAAATCAATATAAAATACATGTACTATAATTAATCCCCGTCTCGCGGAAAATGGGATTGTTTACAGCTCCTCCCGCGTCTCACCCACTTTTTGCATACGCATTTATTATAGTTTATAGCCTACGCCACAGCTCATCAGTGTCACTTTTTTGTGGCAAAACTTGTCAGTAGAAATTATTTTTTTTAGAGTGAACACATTTTTTTTCAATAAAAGTTCTCGAAACATGCTTTCAATAAGCATAATGTCTCAATTAGAAAAACAATATGGACTTGCTTTTAAAAGCGACGTTGCCCCAGCTTTAAACCTTATTATATCTGTGGAAACTACCCATTTAGATTTTTTATTATTTATTATGGACTTTTCTAGAACACGGCCAACGGGTGTTTACAAAATAAATATTAATTTCTTAAAACAAATTCATACCAGTCTTTGTGGAAAAGCTGGAGGTTCTTTGTTCGAAAGTTTAAGAAATATTTGACAATACGTTGTGCCAGGAATTTCTAACCACACTTTAATTAGGAGCTGGGCCTCCGACTCTGTCTGTCAGGGCCAACCCGGCAGAAAGAAAAAGATACTCAATAAAAATTCTGCCAATTGGGAGTCGAACTCGGGTCTCCTGCTTGCTACAGCGAAACGTCTAATTGCTACATCATAGACATCAGTTACAATGACTATGTCAACCTCCCTTATCTCGGAGAGCCCGTGTGCAAGTTGCGCACGTTAAAGATCCCTTGGTGGTCTAAAATCGATAAGAGTAGGCTTCGGCCGCCACCCGGGCAAAATTCAAAATTTACTACCAACTGAAAATATTATTAGGTGGGTCCCGCTCACTCATATGACCTTATGCAGTTGCGAGCGCGTAAAAACACTTACCAAAACAAACAAAACAACCTCCCTTAGAGTACCGCCAGTAAAGAACATAGGGAGGTCAGAATTTTCAGGTACCCTTTTAATTCTCTCCTCAATAAAGACGCAAAGTTGGTACTCCCACAAATCTAATAATGTGCTCTTCGCTAACTTCATCTTCTCTCTAAACTAAGCTGTTTTCGTCACTTACAATATTCAACTAGAAGTAGGTCAAAAAGCCTCAAAAGAAAAAACAACCCAACAACAACAACACACGTACGGAGTTTTATCGGCCATCAATAACGACAGAGGTGAGCTCTAGATCCTTTTTGATGTAGATGTTAGAATCTCACGACTTTTAAAATTCGGAGGGTAACTACAATTACAATATTGCACCTGTAGGATGCTTAAAGAGGCACTTTAGCTAACTCAAACCAAATTAAAGAGTATTAACAAACTATAATTATTTTTCCTCCGTGGCTTTTGATCTATCGGAACTGTTAGAAATGTCAGACGGTTCTCCTCTTAAATGCCCTCTATTAAAGTGTAAGACGCAACTTTTATTGATCCATGCAGTAGTTATAGAAAAATTACAGATTAATTTCCCTCTCTTGATAATAGTTAAATAAATACATTTTATTCATGGGTCTCAGTTTTAAACTGTATTTTAACTGTTTGTTTTTTTAGCAGCAATGGAAACAAAGATACCGTGATCAAACAGTGATTGAGCATAACCTCCGTGCCGTGCCACATATGCTTTGAATTCGGTGAAATGTACTAGGTCTTCCCATTATGTTCCAGGTCCTTTCAGTTCAGCCGAATCTCTTTCTGCTCGGGTAATTGAGC